CCCGTGCAGACGCATTGCCGCCGCCGCCCCCGCCGCCATACCTCCCCACGTCGCTCTGTCTCCGTATTAAAAATGGATAGGGGCCTTTAGTGTCACAACGTTGGAGCACCGAAGTGAAAGGCAAGAGAGAAGGCTATGAATAATTTGCCTGCCAATTGGGGGGAGGAGGCACGAGCTATTGTGCTGACATCTATTGCCTTTTGCCTTTCTTCTTTTCTTTTGTCTTGGCGTTTCGGGTCGAGTTCGGCACCCCTCCCCCCTCTTTGCCTCACCGTCAGGACCGTCCTCCTTCCCCCTCAATGTGTCCCGCCTATTCAACCCCTATATCCTCCTCTGACGCTAGGCAAAGACCGAGGTGAAGGTTAGCACAGGGGGCCCGACCTAGGCCCACCACCTGCAGCCTACGCCAGCGTCACCATACAACATGTGGACAGGTGGACCACAGACCGCGCAGGACGTGTGACCGCGGGGGAGATGAGTGGCAGTAAAATTGCTTCGGCCTTGGATTATAAATTATTCGCACGAGAAAAAAAATAAAATAATACAAGTACGGGGTATTCTATCGTATTTGAATTTGGCTGAAGTTTTTTTTTTTTTTTTATCAATTTGATACCAAAAATTTACATTTCTTCTCATTCTCCGACTTGACCTTGACTGGAATGCTGTGCATTGTAAATCTCTACACTCTGCCTGAATTGTTAATAATCTACTTGTACTCCCTGTTCTGCGCCCATGTCTAAGCTGAATACAAAATTGTAAGCCGTCCGCGTTACATAACAAAAGGGTAACTCATCCGTTACAAGAGGTAACTAACGACAAACGATTTTGTATCCTTTGGCGTGCCCACGCAAAAGTCAAAATATAAGTGAAAATTGTCATCTAGAGTGTACCCATTCGTGTCAAGTAGGGCATGTTATGTGTCTGTGTTTCCGTGTGTGGCTGCCTCCGGGCTGCCTTGTACTGCAGAGGGTCTCACTCTTTTATCGCTTTCGCTTTTACAGTTGTCGGAAGTGACTGACCTGAAACCATCCCTTGTTGCATGTCCGCGGGACGATCAGAAGGGCTCCGAGTACCTGCCATCTGTTCACGAAGACTACAAGGTGAGTGTACACTTCGTCCTGCCATCGTTCAAAAAAAGAATCCGTAGTAACCACATTGTTCAATGTGGTTAGTAAAGGCTTCTCTTGCGCGTTTTCAGTACGCTCTTTGACAGTATTTTTAAATGCAAAGTATTGTAGAGAGTAAAAAACTCATGTGAAACTTGTCATTTGCTTAACAAAAATGCATAGCATACATTCAAAACCATAAAAGTGCACTAAAAAGGAGAAACCTGGTCATTTATTTGGTGGATCCTATGCACTTTAGTTTGTGCTCGTTTTGAAACAGTGTGATCTCGTGTGCTGTCGCGAATCTTTTTCGCTTTTAAGCGTAAGCGCACGGGAAGCCTTATAACCTGGGATACTATTATTTATTT